GGAGTTAAAAAAATTTCGATTAAAAAAATGAAAAAGTTTAGACAAATTGAAGAAAATAAGGTTGATGTTTTTTGTAACAATATGATTATCTTTGATAAAAGAACTTAGACTTGCTCTCGACATATTTATTGAAAAAAATTGTATATCTAGAAAATTGTGAAATTCATTTTATGACTTAATCCTGAGAGGGACTAGAGGGAGTTTCACGACTAAAAATTTCTTTAGACCGGTAAAAACCGGCCGGTCCAACCATTTCAACCGGTCCAGACCGGTTACAACTCTGATGCGACCAGAGCCAGGGTTTTCTGAAAATAGTCTTGTAAAGAGCATAAAAATTTCTTAGTTTCTGTGCTTGTTTGTATGTAGACGTCAGTTCTGCGAGAAAGAACTCATAGAAAATTCTAAAAGTCTTCAACTGATAACATCCACGCATGCTGTTCCATGAGTCACATTACCACTCGCTGACTTTCGAACTATCAGCGCTACTTTAAAAAAATATTTACGGCATCAAAAACGAGTTCTTTCCACGGTACCGGTCACAATTTTTTTCTTCATAGGACCGGGGCCAAATAAATTTGGTCCACAGATCTCTAGCTAGAAATTATTTTCTCAAAATCCGAATTCAAAATAATGAGCTAAAACTGGAATGGTGTGCTTCATTTTTAAAAGTTTAATACCGCATGAGCCTTATGTAGAACATTTTTTAATTTTTTCTTAGGATATAGTTTATGTTCTACTCTTTAATAAATACCTAAAGGGTTTTACAGAGAAACAAGGAGAACATGTTGTAGAAATCATCAATAAAGTATCATGCAGACATTTCTTTATTAATCAGTCGAAAAAAGAAAAACTATTTTTTTGAAAACAATGAATATTACATATGAAGTATATGTTTCGCATTTGGACTATCCAACTGATGATGAAAAACTATTTTCGGGTTCTACGCTGAGAACCGAGAACCGCGATTCTGTTCTAAGTTCGGAACCGGAACCGCAATTCCTTTCGTTTCGGTTCTAACTCCAGAATCAGAACCAAGAATCGAACATCCCTATTGTAAGGCACAGTTCATCGTGATCCAGATTTAACAGATGAAATCTCTCTGTTAAATAAATATATCCAAGGAGCAACAGTTACCTATTCAAATTTGATAAGTTCATCAAAAAGAGATAATTTAAAAGTCCACAAAACCGAACTACATCAACTATCTACATTATGTAAAACAGACAGATCAATTCAAAAATATTCAACGGGACCGAATGAATTCGAAGTCTTATTCACACCGTCTACACCGTTTTCCATTAAAAAATCACACAAAACACACTTATGTCGGCGTTGTTGCATTTGTGCAGACACATCTTCAAATGGAAGAAGACGAAGTTTAGACTATGTGACAAGCGAGAATATTTATTAAATTTGACATTGAACAAGGAAGACAATAGTTATAAAAATCATACACAGTTTGAAATTAGAGCTTACACTCTACCTGTTCGGAAAAAGTTTTTTGTGAGACGCTCTAAAACCGGAAAAATAATTTTTCTTTCTGCATTAGATATTTTCCGAAGAGCGCACTTCAGTATAGTGGGCTTCCTACTTTTTCCCAGCCCCAAGCTAAACGAAACTTTCACAGAATATTCTTCTACTAGCGATACATCTGTGTTGTTAGAGAAAATGTTTCTGGATCGAGTTATAGGTTTTTGGGATAAATTCGACTTTTCTCGTTCCAGAAGCGGCTGAATTAAAAAATAATAATATATTCGTAATCAGCACACAAAACTGTGTCGAATGATGTGTAATTTTTAAGTTTTCTGTACAAACGTTTTCGATCTAACGAAGTCCTAGACCTAAAGCACCATAGTAAAGTAATTTACAGCGCTGTTTCCAATGGTGTGATTTCAAAATTCAAAAGTACTTTTATGTAGGTTTTCTGGAGATCCGGATCACTGGAAAACCCAGAAAATACATTTTTGAACTCTGTAAACCACATCATGGCAAAGAGTATATCTAAAAGCCTATAGAAGCAGTATTTGTAGGCTTTCGCACTGCTTCTACAGCATACGTTCATCTGCCTAGCCAAAAAGTTGCCCACTGTGCGATCTTAGTTATCGAAATGTATTGCAATAGTACCTCATCCGAGGCAAATGCCACTACCTACCTTTAACAAGGATTTTTTTGTATGCTTGTTATTTGTTTAACGGAGAATATTTACGGTATTTGTTTCAATCAAAGTCACCGTTTCATTATCGTGATCAAAAAGGTTTAATAAAATTTTAACGAACAAAGGATTGTAAACGTAGACCCACAGCAGGGAACACAACATCTAGACTATACAATTACTTTACTTGGTATTTAACCGTGGAACAAGCACTGAGCAAATCAGACAACCTTTTTCTTCATGTTTTTAATTTTCGCGCAGATGAGTACTTGATGTACGAAGTAGACCATTCTTTAAAGCTTGCACTGATTAAATGTTATTCCTAATACAATATACTTTTTGAGGTACTAGCTGTGGATTTCATTTTCCGACTGTTTGATGAGTGAGCGTAGAGCTTTTTCAAATGTAAATTTTCTGTTATTAATCATATTTCGATGTCTCAAAATGTTTCGAACAGCCATAAACTTTTCTTCGTTCGTTAGACTATTCCAATCACAGTTTTTATTTTGTTGAAAAATCATGATCAATATTTGTCTTTTCCGATCCAGATCTGGCTTACCCATTGACACGTGATCTTTGTTTAAATTAGTAAAGAAAATCTTATCTTCACTACTATAAATTCTGGAAAAATCACTAATAAGATCAATAATAATCACTTGTTCAATCTGCTGTTCAATTTGGTTATATTTATCCGTATATTGAGGAAAATAAGTTAAATATTCTTGTTTTTCACCTTGTAGCCAAATATTTAGACAAAATTGAGATTGTTTATTTTTGTTTTCCATTCCAACTGTCTGATAATGTACAAGCAAGTAAGATGGACTTTTAATTTTAATTCGATCATATGTTTTTAGATCACAGGCTACTATACCTTCGCCTTCGGCAAAACGCATCCGGTTCACATATTCCAAACACTCATCGAATGTTGAAAATGGAATTACTCGAGGTTTTCGTACACCGATATCAATTTCTAGTTCTTCTAGAGTAGACATATCACGCGTACCTAAATGATACAACATTGGTTTTTCATATTTTATAACGATTTTATATTCGGGATGAACACGTTCAAAAAAATAGGCATATTGTTGATTTAATTTTGAATAATCAAGATTAGCTTCTGTTGCTGCTTCTTGCCATAATTGTTCGTTTGTTTTACCACAATGGACATACTTTTCTCGAAATTGTTTTATATCAATTCGACTGTTACTACTAATATGCCATTCTTTGTTGAAATAATATAGTTTAAAAAATGAACCATCTAATTTTTCTGTATAATATGTCCACTGAGCAGTTCCAACAGTTTGAACAGCAGAAAGTGGTTCATTATAATTCCAAAATTTATAAAATGGTAAACAAACCAAACGATATGGTGGTTGTTTCTCATATATTGTACCACGATTTTGTGTTAAAATTATTTTTTGTTCTTCAGTGCCGCGTGTCCACAATCGACTGTCATGCATATATTTAGCACAAAATAATTCAGCAGTTTCATCAATTGATAAATCATATTTTGTTTGTAATAGTAGTCGGGCTTCTGACCATGGTAGATTAGCAATAACTTTTGGAAGAAGAATCGAATCCATTTTTGTATGTCGCGAAAGAAAGAAACAGAAATCGGGTAGATTATTTTTATATATATTTGTTACCTTTCGTAATTTGTTTTGTTCTGCCTCTCATACACACCGTTTATGTATTGACGCAATAGTGATGTAAGACTCTGAAATGGTGCGGTACGCTGTTTCGACTATGGCCTCTCCTGATACGAAAGTCAGATTTTCTTGAGTTAAAATGCTAAAAGCGAAAGAGATCAGAAATATTTGCATCTGCGCATCTACACATTCAGAATATGAAAAACTGCAGTTTGATAAAAGACAACTACATAACGTTTCCACACTCAAGACCACAGCAGACTTTTGCTGTTGATTTCATGATCTTCTAGTAAATAATATCAATTAACTCAAATAAAAATAACCCGAGGTGATTATGATCGACCCTATTTAAACTTTCAAAACGACTAACTGAGACGGTAAGACAGCTGAACAGGGCAGCGTTGTTTAAGAAAGATATAATGAGTGACTTTATATGCGATGTTCAATTAAAACTGCAAATACCAAGAAAAAAATTAGTCAGGATCGGCAGTATCATTTAATCTCAAACAGTCAGTTTTATAAGTAACTAAGTCTTCTAAATCCGACTCGAGGTCAAATTACTCACAACGTTGTTTCCTTTTAGCTCCAAATAATAGCTCCAAAAAAAAAAAATGGCCGCCTCCAAAAGAAAAAAAACATTATCTGGAACGAATAACAGCTACATCATTGAATAGAATTTTAGTAAATGAGGGTGTCCTTGGATAGATGTCGCTTAGAATCAGGCTGAAAATAAAGTGTTGAGTAATTGATTAATTTATAGAACAATTAAGTCTTTAAAAATGTTTTCTGTGATTCTATTGATGAATATGAAACTTTTATCGTCAACAAAAGAAAAGAAATAGTCGGTACTGTAAGCAGGAAGTTACGAAACAACGATCATTTAACTTTATTTTGAAATTTCAAGTCGCATAAAAGAATGAACATTATACAAAACACATTTTCATTCTGCATGGAAGCTCCGTATAATAACACTAGTACCGTTTATCTCTGTGATTTGTAATGACTATGAAATCATAGTATTGTTTGCGTTAATCTGCAAAGAGTTGTGTTTCAGGGAGAGTCTTTCCTTGGAAAGTAATATAAAAACTAACAGTAAAAATATCCTCATCGAACGTGTTAAATAAGAAAAAAAATGAACAAACATTTAAGGTACATAGACAAAACTTGAAAAAATGTAAAGTTTAATTTGTTGATGGTAGAAATACCCCGTGTTCTTCAACCATGTTAGTTGAGACTGAACGAGGTTCTGCATCTGTTTTCGATGTTAGAGTTACAAACATATCGGCAATTAAGTCACCTACAATAACATGCCCGTATTGAAGTCCCAGTAATCGAAAAATCAAAACTCCATCACAGCAACAACAACAGTCATAGACAAAATGCTTAATGTTTTCTAGTATATCGGGGTTGTACAGATTGACTACTGCATCATTTGTACAAATTTTTAATCTTTGTGAAATATATTTATGACGTTTGTATGGATTGAGCCGGTATAAATAATAAAAAAATCCAATTATTGTTAGAATCGAAACGGAAACTAAGCATATCCAAATTATCAAAAATAATAATGAATTTAACTTATTAATGGGTAATACGCATTGGATAGTACTATTTAGAACGCCGTCTAGTAAATAAAAAGACGTAAGTAGAGGCTTGTGCGATAGTTTAAGACTAGTGCAAAATTTTTACTAAAGCAATGTACACAGTTTATTTTAACTAAAGGTACAGTAGCCAAATTTTCTGATATGTTGGTACAATTCTGACCTTCACATATTAGCGCGCTGTTTAACTGTAATCCAAATACGCGATCGATAGTAGACAAATTCTGAAGTACATCAGAAGAATTAGACGATCTTTGTGCGATATGTCGTTTGCATCTGGCGCAACTGACACCATCTTCAATGAGTTTAGGAAACAACTTTTTCAGCAATTCATCGGAATCTTGTTGAACACCAGTAATAAAGGTAGGATCTAATACTTTCATGTCTTTAAAATAATCTTTCGGATTGAGAGCTCCCGTTCCTTGCTGGCAAACTTCATATAAAAGTGCACCAACTTTGCACTGTAAGCGTACTTTTGCGTCTAAAGAAAACGAAATCTATTTTTATAAAAAAGAGAAAAAAATCCCATTCACATATTCTAGTAACACATGCACGCTGCACATTACCTAAAAGCACAGCGTTTTCTGTTCGATTATATTCATTTTCGTTCAAGTCACTTTTTGAGGGCCACAGTGTTGTAATACCAGATGTGCTTGCCATCATTTGTAGAGCTGAGTTAAACATGTATTTCCTAAATTAATCGGCCCTCGATGATATTTTCGATTGACCGACGGTAATTGCTGCGAGAGAGCTGCAAAAAACATCACAATTTTCTACCTTCCTTGCCATTACATTTAAGCTGGGTCTCCGCTCAAAAAATTTGCGTATAGTTTGTCAGTTTCTAGAACACATCAGGCTACACATATTCTAAACATTTAAAATTTTTATAACA